TCACATTTTAAAAAAAAGAAATATTACTTATAGTTTTAATTAAATTATAACAATGCCCCCACTAAAAATTAAATGGTGCCCCCTCATTTTTTTAACCCTAAATCTTTTTTTTTCAATTTTTTTTTCTACCAATTTTACATTCTCCTTATCATATTAATAAATTTGTTTTTATACAAATCTCATAATTGATTTAACAGAGAAATCTATTGAGAAATTTCTCAAAAAAATTTACAGTGTCCAAAATTTAATGATCTATTTAACGGAATAAATTCAAAATTGCTCATTTATATGACAGTTTTTAGTCATGTTAAAATAACTTTGCGTAATCGGATTGGTGATCAGCCTTTGAGTGATTTTCTAATTTGTTTTATCGAAAAAAATATGTTTGAGATAATTATAAATGAAGTTGTTAGGAATAGATTTAAAAAAATGAAAGATCGGAGAATTTAGCTATATAATGAAAAATATTTTTCTGATAATATATTTTTATTAGTTTTTTATATTTTATATCATATTTATATTTGTTGTCCCATGTTGAAAAAAATTTTTGGATCCGCCACTGGTTATATATGTGTGTGTGTGCAGCGTTATAGACTATTATAAAACTGCAATTTGAAATATGCATATGAGATATGGGTATAAACCTAAAATTCTGATCAGAAAATGGATCCAAAAACACACAAACAACAAGTTCAATTACAATGTAAATGACCTCATTACCAAAAAATACAAAACACAATTTGGCTTTTGCAACCTCCGGGATTAAGACACAAACAGAACTCGTCGAGTTATGTTTCAAGATCTATCTAATCCCAAATGCCGATCCTTTAAATTCACGTTCCTGCATTGTCATGCCATTTTAGCCGTCCGATCGTATCCACGTGTCCTAATATCACTCGCGATGACTTCGACGTTGGAGATCAGCGGCCAGGAACCAAGCATCTGTTCATCAGCCAAAAAATTCCATGTAAAAATTGAATTTTTTTTGCTCGGTAAAAATTGAAAATTTTACAGATTCCGAGAACCCCCAAAAGGAGAGAAGCGGACATATTTTATGACTATATATATATATATGTTGTTATATATATGTATTTGTATATATTTACTGTACATTTTTTATTATATAATTTTTTAAATTATTTTAAATTTTAATTTTTAATATATATTTATTTTTTTTATTTAATTTTTATCTCATATGATAGATGAATCCACAAAAATCATATCGTCCGTGTTAAAATAATATCGATAATTTCTTTTTGTAAAAAAATTAATTTTTTTGTCAAAATAAATAAATTCGTAATTATTGTTAGAGTTCAAAAAGTTTTTTTTTTTTTTTTTTTGGATTTTCCTTCCTGAGGACTCTATCAGTTTTGTGTTCAAATTCAGTATTAAACCAAGGAAAAATGTTGGGGATTACGCGGCCAAAAGGTCAGATTTTTTACAATTTTTTCAGTTTCCTTGTCACGTGTTCTAATTTGGGTTATTATGTAAATCTTCATTTGTTTTCTTTATCGTGTTTCACGGTCCATGATTATTGCTCTATTCTTGAATATTATATCATATGGATATATAACATGAAAACCCACCAAGAACAGCTCGCAGCCATCCCATTTTATTGGAATATTTCAGACATTATTTTTTCAGAGGCAAAACTCTTCTGTCGGAAATTCAAACAAGACTCACCCTTCAACTGAAGTGACAAGCAGCTTATCAATACCTTGGCGAGGAAGAAACCTCGCCTCCAATGGCCTGGCTCTGGACAGAGTCAGTCCCGCAACACCTTTCATGTCGATCTCTGGCTCGGCCTTCTCCCAGTCGAAACACTGAACCAACATCCCTATCGCCAAGGACGCCAACCGGATCGCCATGTTCGCCCCCGGACACGCTCTTCTCCCGGTTCCAAACGGTATAAACCTGGAAAAAAAACAACCCGATGAAACACACGGATTTCAGAAACAGATTTTGATCCATTTTTCTTGCCTGAATCCGTCGCGTTCTCCAACCACGCCTTGGAATCTCTCCGGGCTGAAACGTTCTGGATCTTCCCAAACATCGGGATCTCGATGCATTGCCCACGAGTTCACGATCAGTGTCGTGCCTTTTGGTACAGTGTAGCCACCGATATGGCAGCTTTCACTAGACGAGTGGGGCAGTAACAATGGCGTCGGAGGGTATAGCCTGAGAGTTTCATTGATGACGCATCGAAGGTAAGGAAGCTTAGCCAAGTCTGCGTCGGTCACCAAACGATTTGGACCGACGTTTTCATCGATCTCTTCTCTAAGCTTAAGTAATGCTTCTGGATTGCTCAGAAGCAGAGACATGACCCATTCTAATGTTACAGCCACCGTGTCTGCTCCTGCTGTGAACATTACCTGAAAAAAAAAATCATTTGTCGGATTCAGAAACATCCCTTTAAGCCATTGGCGATTAAAGTACACTTCACTTACCAAAACGATGCTCTTTACGATATTGTCTGAGAAGAACTCCGGATCCGAATCTTGAAACGACAAAAGGGTTTCGATCAGTGTCGGATTCGATGATTTATCTTTCGAAACCCCGTTGCTTCTTTCTCCCTGGACTCCTTCGATCAGTTTCTGTAAATAACGATCTCTCATTCTGAAAACACGCTCCATATTCTTCTCTATTCCTTTGTATCCAACCCATCTAAGGAAGGGGAAGAAATCACAGAGATTCATCGTCATGGTCGGATAGAACATATCCTTAAACTCCGACAAAAACTGCTTCTCCCTCTCGATATCTCCCTCGAAAACTCTCCTCCCCGCGACCATTTTCATCAAAAGATTCGCTGTCAGAAGCGAAAAACAGTACTTCAGATCGATTTTCTCTAAACCCTTCTTGGAAAGATGGAAGATTCTGCGACAGAGATGGGTTACTTCCTCCGCGCGTAAAGTCGAAAACTTTTGGATACTGTTCGAGGAAAGGACCTCAACCACCGCAAGTCGCCGGAGAATCCTCCAGGTCTCGCCGTACGGAGCGAAACCCATGGCTAAGTATCCGTAGCTGAGGCGGTCCCCGGATAAAGTCCTGGGCCGGTTGGCGAAAGCGATGTCGTTTTTGGTGAAACATTCTTCGACGGTCGAAGCAGAGGACACGACGACAAAGGGACGAGACCCGAACTTGAGATAGAGAACAGGACCGAACTCGGAAGATATGCTCTGTAATGATTCGTGGAGAGGGTTCTTGAGTAGATGAAGGTGACCCAAGATCGGGAGACGAGTTGGGCTTGGTGGGTACTTGTGTATTGTCTTCTTGAGAGCTTTCAGTGTGATAACAATGGCGGATACGAGAATACTAAGAAGAAGATACAGCAAGCGAGTCTCCATGTGTGTTTTCTTCTGCCTTGCTCGAAAGCTCGTTCAGGTGAGTATTAAAATATCATAGAAAGCATGGTATGATTAGAATTTATAATGATTATATATATATATGGGACCTATATTGATATATATATATATATATGTGTGTGTGTGTGTGGGGTCATTTGAATTAATACAGACATAAAAAATGCAACAAGATGCTAAATAAATCGTAAATAAAGCCGTTTCATTCGAATCAATACTATTAAAAAATAATACATGCTTAGATGAATTTAAATTGATTTGGTTGGATTTAGAGTTTGTGAGTTGTACAAATATCAATGATCAGCATTTAATAACATACAAGACAAAATTTTATCCGAGCCATCATTATAATTTTTTTTTTAATTGAATATGGTATGAATTTACTGTAAGGGACAAAACACACACACACACACACAAAAGAAATTTAAAAAATGCGGTAGAAGCCATCATTATATTTTTATGGTTACAGACAGACATTAGAGTTCTTCACGTCACAAATTTTTCCCTAATTACAAATTCCATTTTCTTATCAAACTTGACAGAAAACGATAAGCCGTCCTTAACATTTTCTCTTACCATATTTATTTATTTATTTATTTTTAAATTGAAGACAAAAAAGGGCCAAAAACGAAGAAGCAAAGGAGATGTGATGGAAGAGTAGTTGTTTGGTCTTTTTTTATGAATTCTGAAAATTAATGTGGACAATGGGACATGGTATACACCCACTCATCCACAATCATTCAATACGCACACGGATATATATATGTATATGTATATGTATTATAAGGTTATGTATCACCTCCCAACTATCAATTTAAATAAATACACATATTTGATTATAGATTCCTAATATTTAGATTAATTAAAAAAAAGCATAAAAATCTGAAACCTTTTTTTTTAAAAAAAAATTAGAACCTTTCGCGAATTCGAACGTCTATTGATATAAACATTGTGGGGTCTTCACCAAACCCTTTAGGCGAGAAAGAGGCTTCCAAAACCTAGGTTCGAGACATAGGGTTTGAGGACGGAGGGACAATTCGGTCTTTTGGTTTTGTGGTTAATGAAACCCTAAGATTTCATTCTCGTGTGTGGCGAACGATTATTCGTTCTACGGTGTCGTTGATCGGTTTTTTCGGTGGATTTCCGACTATTTCTTTTTTGTAATCCTAGTAGAACGCTGATCCTCTTCCTGAGACGTAGGCACCGAGTTCTCTCGGTGCTGAACTCGTAATTTCTGTGTTCTTTCGTTTTCTGCTCAAATCGGAGTGAATCGGAGGGTTTCTTGATGACTTTCGAGCCGATTCCATTACAAGTGGTATTAGAGCCTGGTTGACGGCAAATTTCAGCGAATCGACAGCAAAATCTCGGAGTTGAAGTAAGATCCAAAACTTGGTTTCGATCTGAGTTTCTGATCTTTGGTGTTTCGTGTTTCAGGTTGCAAATCGGCGGTGAAACAATGAAGCAAAAGCCATTTCGAGGAGAAATCGACGGTAGTCACAGGCAGAGGAGCTCAAATCGGCGACAAGTTCCAGGTAAGATTTCGGATATGATTTGGTTGAGTTGCTCAGCCGAATTCGGAGTCCGAGGAGGTAAATTTCACTTGGTCATGCATTAGGTCTAGGGTTATAGGGGGAAGAACCGGTGAAAACCGACGTTTTTTCGGTGAGTCTCGGTCGTGACTCGTTCGCATCACGACTGAGTCATTTCCGGGATGAGTCAACGTCCGAGTTGACTCGGGTTAACTCGATTGCTGAAGCTTCCGAATTAGGGTTTGTTGGTTTAATTCTGGTTTATCCAATTTAAATCAATTTATCTAATTAAACCGGGTTCAATTTAAATTCGGACCGATTTAGTCTGGGTTGACCGGGTTCGGAAAACTGGACCAGTTCAAGTCAATTGGACCGGTTCAGGTCCGGTTTGGAGTCAATTAGACCGGTTCAGACAAGTTCAAGTCAATTTAGGTCCGGTTCGAGATAACCCAGACCGGTTTAGGTCAATCTAGGTCCGGTTTAGGATAATTGAGTCCGGTTTAGGTCAATTTAGATTGGGATTGAGCCGATTTAGGTCTGATTAAGATTTGATTTGTCCAAATAGGGCTGGGATTGTCTGGTTTAGGGTCTGTATCGACTAGATAAGGTCTAGATTGATCGATTTAGGGCCATGATTATCTGATTAGGACTAAAATTGGTTGGTTTTAGGTCTGATTGGTTCGGTTGGTGCAGATAGAGTCCGGTTCTTAGGATATTCTGTCTGGTATAAGGTATTTAGGATTTGTATAGATCGATTTATCCTAGGTAATGGCAGATTGGATCTGGGGGGAGACTTTGGTTACCTGTTTCAGTCCATAGAGTCCGGTGTTTGTGTCCGGTTAGGCCTGAATAGAAGGATTTGGCTGAATTAGGTGAGTTAGAAGTCAGTATTAGGCTTGAAATCAATAGGTATGGGTCTGCAAGAAACATGTTAGGTTAATGAAGGTTTGTAGGGGTTGATTTTAGGCTAGATAAGGTCTGATCAGAATTAATTAGGTCGGTTTTAGACTTAGTTTAGATCTGATTAGGTTAATTCAAGTTTGATCAGGGGTAAGTAAGTCAATATTGGGTTGGTTTAGATCTAATTAAATTTAGGGAGACAAAATAGACTCGGTTTAGGTCTGGTCTAGGTTGTTTAGGTCAGTGTTAGCCTTGGGGTAGGTCTGATTAGACGTAATTAGGTCTTAGGTAGGCTGTTCTAGAGTCTATTAGGTCTGTTAGGTTGAAAAATATACCTAGGTTTAGGTCCTCTTAGGATCGCTCTCACTCCTTAGGTCTGTTTTCAGGTGCTCCTAGGGTCGGTTTAGTCATTCGCAGTTTTTAGAGTCGTCTTTAGACTCGGGTCAGATCGTCCTAAGTAGATCTAGTGCATCCTCAGGTTAGAGATTATGTATCCTTTTAGTGATGTCTCCCTCTGCATCGCCTTGACGTCGAGAAGTTCGATGGCATGGGAGACTTCTCCTTATGGAAGGAGAAGATGTCTATTAGTTTAGAGATCTTAGGGTTAGAGGACATACTAGAGGATGATCCATATTTGTAGGGGAATGCTGATGAGGGGAACCCAAAAACTTCAGCTCAAGAAACCGAGGATTCAGGAGGTCTTACGACCCTTTCCACCGGGTCATTAGAACCGGGGCAAAGGGATCGGGCACTCCGGCTCTCAAAGAGAGACAAGAAAGGAGTAGAAGGGCTAGGAATCTCATAGTGCTATGTCTAGCGGATCAGGTTCTGAGAAAGGTCATATCCGAAAGGACGGCATTCGGAATCTGGAGGAAGCTAGAACGATTGCACATAGAGCAATCCCTCTCCATTAGGATGCATCTCATGCAGAGGTTGTCAGGGTTTAAGATGGATAGCTCTAGGACGATAGAGGAAAATTTAGACATTTTCCAGAAATTATTGTCCGACCTTCACAGCTTAAATGTGAAGGTAGAGGAGGAGTATCAAGCAGTTTACCTGCTGAACTCCTTACCTCCTGCTTATGAGCAGCTGAGGGAAGTCCT